CACACACACACACACACACACACACACACACACACACACACACCAAAAACAAAAAAAGAAAAGGAAAACGGCACAGCGCACAGCGCGCACCCCTGCCCGGCGGCGCATTTTGACGTGCATCCCGCACAGTGCAACCGGTGCGCACACCCGCGCACATGCGGATGCGGTGTGGGTGAGCGCATCCCGCACGGCGCACCGCACTGGTGCGCCGCAAGTATGGTTCTGTTATTTCTCACTTCAGTAATTTGTCCTTTTGCCATGTTTCTGCGGGCTTTGGCCCGCAGCAGGGATGCTGGTGATTATTGAATGTTGACTTCAGGGGTATTTTTCTTGTGCGGTGCTTTCTTGTGGCTATGGTTGCGTTTATGGTGTCATGGATATATTGTCTCCTTCGCAGGGCAGCGAGGTGGTTGAGGGTATAATTGCAGCAATCGATGGGGAGAAAGACCCTCGTTGCTTGCTTCTTACATTCAAGATTGTCGAGCTGGCAGCTGCTCTTTTTTCGACTCCTCACAGGCTGCCCTTGACGGTAGAGGAGTCTCTCAACGACGACCTAGACGATGTTGCTGTGGAAAATCTGCAAATGATATCGAAGGAGATAGAAGAAGAATTGTTCGATGTGATTTCCTGCTACTTCCCTATTTCTTTTACCCCGGTACACCACACTCATTGACCTGCCAGTGTTGTTCACAAGTAATAATGTATATTCTTTTCAAAATCATCGTTCTTTTCTCTTTTTTCTCAGTCTAAATCGCTTTATATTGCATGCGTTTTAATTCATATTTAGCTACGAGCAATCTACGTTTTTGATATCTAATGACTTGATGTGACATATGGTTAAACTTCTTTCTGTAAAAACTCGCTCCACAAAATGGAAGTTTCATTTCCCCTGAGTGGATATGTGGAAGTACGATACGATGATTCAGGGAAACGTGTGATTTCTGAGCCTATTGAAACGATTCAAGAATTTCGTTATTTTGATTTTTTGCGTCCTCGGGTCCCTGGAGATGGATAGCAATCTCTGCACCATTGTTTCAACCTGAACCCGGGCCCCTCACGAGCATGCCGAGGGTGCAAATCCTCGCAATAATCTCGAATTACCTGGGGTGGGTCACCTGTGGATATATGTCAAGACTGCCGCCCTTTTGGGAAAAGAAAAAAAAAAGATTGTCGAGCGAGGAATGCCTCAAGAAGTTAAGAACCCATCTGTTACTTTAAAATTTAAGAAGAATTGGTTGGGGCTTGATTGGAAGCACCAAGAATCATCTCAAAAATTGTGAAAAGAACAGATTGGTGAAAGTAGAATTGTCACAAAAATTGTGAAAATTCGAAAAGAGATCGCTGAGCGAAGAATGTCATAAGAAGTTAAGAACCCCGTCCTTCGGGACATCCGTTAAAATTGGAACGGTACGGAAAATATATATATTTGTTTGTGACGATATATATATATTTTATAACTACGGTTACTACGCTGTATTATTCTCTCAAATCTTTCATGAACTTTCATCGTCTTTCACATTCTTTCAATTCACCTTCACTACCTACCTACCACTACTCCCAAGGCTTATATAGGGGACCCCTGCGAACGTAGCTTTGTTGTCTCCCTCCAGCCATCAGAGGGGATGCATGTTGCCCCCCGCCCCAACCATGGTGGTCAAGGATGGGGTGGACCGCCGGTGGGGGTCCGGCTAACGCAAAGACCGAGCATTTTGCCACTAGCTGCGTCTCCCTTTTCATCGTCCCCCACGCCCAACCGAATAACAGCAGTGTCTCAGGCCAACACTCTCCCACACACCACACTACACCCACTGACACTCACACCCGTGTTGGCCAAGGAACCTGCTGATACCAATCAGAGGTATCAAGTGGATTATCACTGCTGGTTGGCACTAAGTGCGCGGCAGGTGGTTGTGGGACTCAAACCCACAACCTCCTGAATACGGAGAAGATTAGCATGGCCCCTGCGCAAGGATGACACACATAAATCGAGAAATGGTCCAAATTGTCCAAATTATAAAAATAAAATCAAAAGAAGAAGAAGACGAAGAAGAAGAAGGTAAGAACCCATCACATACCCTTAAAAAGATCCGTTGGGGCTTGACTGGAAGCACCCACTCTTTTAGGAAGAGTGAAGAAAGATTGCTTGTGTATGTGGAGTGCGTGCTTCAATTGATTATGGTGGGGGGTGATGGCGGTGATTGGTGGAGAGTAGCTCCAAATTTGAGCTTTACCCTCTCGTTTAGCCATCTCTTCTGAGTTACACGTGTTCAAATTTGGAGCCTTGTGCAGTTTGTCTCACGTAATGCATGGTCGTGAAACATGATGGGAACAGTTATTCTATGCAACAGGATTTCAGCTGCTGATCTATTTATTGGCGGTTAGGTCTGTGTACCATTTAACCAACAGGAAGATAGACACACACAGCTATTCTAAATAGCTATTTCTTTCTTTTTAATGATCGTTTTTCGCCTACGGAATGCCATCTTGAAAGGTGTTCAACAGTCTCAGTCTTCTGACTGATGTTACAACTTTGTGTTCTAGTTGCTGAGACACCATTGCACAGGTGTTCCTGGAGAAGTAATTTTTAGCTCTGCGTTTGGGAAAGAGGCGAGGGACAGACAACTGTTGCCATATTTTCCCCAGGCCTCCCCTCATATCTCCCGGGGGGGGGCGGGGGGGGGGGGGGGGGGNAGAGAGAGAGAGAGAGAGAGAGAGAGAGAGAGAGAGAGAGAGAGAGAGAGAGAGAGTTTGGACAAGAAATCCGCTGTGTGGCTGAAATTATGAGGCAACTCCCTACTTTTTTAAAGTTTTTTTATTTTTTATTTTACGTAAAGGCGGTCAAAAGTTCAAAAAATCAATTTTGCCTGCGCCAGGTATGGCGAATACCTTATAGTCTCTGTCACTCTCTGTTTCTAACCTAGCCTTGTACGCCCCCTACCGTTTCCTTGTTGGAAAGTTAAACCCTTAACCCTGTGTACTCATGCTATTGTTTATGTTGGCACTGAAGTCCTGCAATCGCTCTGCCTCGAGAGAGGCGGGGGCTGCCATGCGAACCCCTCCTTGTTGATCTTCCTGCAGCTTCCATACGAGTCTTGGAGTAGTGCCTTCTATGCTGCCCAACTTGCCCGTTCCCTCCCCTACTTGGGATTTTCTTTTTTTCCATTTGAATTTTGAACCCAGCCTTAAGGCCACAACTGCGTTCCCTAATGTGTAGCATCACTGCTGTGCACCTTGCAGTTGTAAGTACTAGACAAAAGAGGCAGCCGGAACCCTCACAGGCAGTGGAGATCAGAGGTTAGCGCTCAAGACCTGCGGATTCAGTGCCCTAGGCTTGGGTTTGGAATTCTTGCCACCGTTCTATGTTTATGAAATTTGATGTAGTGATAACGAGTCTGATTTGGGCGTAAAAGGTTTGCGATTGTTGGAGCTCATGCCTGTGGCTATGTTTCCTCACGACCGCTGTTGACTGATTTGTCACTGATGTGTTGCAGCCCCCCAATGACCGTGTGGGCATCACCAGGGAGCAGCTCGCCTTGGCGTTGGAGGTGAGGGAGTGTGGAGTTGAGAGAGTGTCGAGATGAAAATCACACCCCCTGTTAACCACGTGTGAGGAGGTGGGAGATCAGAGTTGAGAGAGTGTGGTTGTGCTTGGGAGGAATTAGGGAACTGGTGTCCTGTGTGAAGGAATATATAGTTTGAATGTTCCATGTGTCCCACAGTTCTTGGTCATGTGGATCCGAAGCCCTTTGTGTAGTCCCAGACGACCAGCTTGATAACCTGGAAATAAACAGAATGGAATATGTGAAAACAAATAGCCTACTGGCGGGCAGCGTGACCCCCTCCTGGCTTGCCTGGGAGACCAATCATGCAGCCCTTTTTGGGCGAGGTCCAGGGAAGATGCTGGACAGCCCCAGGGCAAAATTGAGATTGAAAAAAAAAGAAGTTTCAAAAGTCTGGGAAAAGACATATCGATTACGATTGCAAAGCAAACAACTTTTGGCTGAGGGTTACCGCAGGAAGAGTGCAGCGAAACACAATACTCAATGTGAATTGCAGAAATCCGTGACATGCTTACATGTTTCAAGATAGGCAAGGAAACCACTCACGAGAAACTCAAATTACTAGCATCATGAACTCTTTTGACCGGGATGCATATGGCATCAGGCTAGCAGCAGAAATGACAAAGCAGTGATTACACTTACACAAGAACCAACAACATTGTAGTCTTTTTTATGATGAAAACTCTCTTCTTGCCTCCCAGAAATCAGTACAACAACAGACACAATTGTCAGCCCTTGCTGATCTTTCTACCAGTGGGTATGAGCACCTTCTCTATCATCTACGCTTAGCCTATACTACTACATTGCACAGTATTACTGAGTGCTTCTTCTTCTCCCACTGATGCCTGCTTGAAGAACATGTCACTCTGAAGTTATTCGTGGTTCCCACGAGGTACGTCCCCCACCACCTCTTCCTCCATGAACTTCCATCTCTCCAAGGATCTCCCCTTTTAGTGCAGCTCCTCTACCTCCTCTCCGCCCAACATAGCTGCTGTTCGCTTGATGGTGGATGCTGCCCTTCCCTGGCTAGATCCTGTCTGCTCGCCACGCAAGCAGTGTGGCAACGTTCTCTTAAACCACCACTACCTGAGCCTCGTTTTCACATTGTGGGGTATCCAATCGTTTCTGAGGCCGAAACAAAACGACCCCTGCCGATGAGATTTATCAGCCCAGCCCCCGATTTTTTTTTTTAGTGTGGGGGGGGGATGAAACGAGGGAGAAAGCCCTTTCAGAAACTCAATTTTACGAACTCAATTCAGAACAGGCTCAAGTGATGTTGACCGGTGACACAGCCCACAGGTCTCTCTCTCTCTCTCTCTCTCTCTCTCTCTCTCTCTCTCTCTCTCTCTCTCCGCCCCCCGACTGTGTTCTCCGGGACCGGTTATGGACAGCAACTATACTCCTGTTTTCCAATTTTCCGTACAGCGGGAAAGGTAGTGGTGGTTAAAGGCACTCGTCTTCTCCTATCCACCCAGCTATCTTCTCGTGAAGTTCTTGTCTCACGGCCCAGGTACAGTTGGCACTGTTCTTGTTTCACTGCCCCGCTCCTGCTGGTTCTGGTCTTTGCTCATATCACAGCTATGGGTGCAACTGGTCTGTACACTTGAGCTACAGTGACTCCTACTGGGCCAGTTGAGGAGCGCCAAGCGGCCTGTCAGCTGAACTCCCTCCGACCCAAGAGACTTTGATCTGTCCCTACCTTCCTTAAATACTCCGGCCGGTATCCTGTCCGGCCGGTAGTTACCACTGTCCGGAGTCTTCTGACCCGACTGCAGTCTACAGGAACCCAGATTGCTTGACCAGGCCCAACCCTTGACCTGACAACACTCAATTCCTTTCGGCCTGGGCCCTGGGCCTCCTGGCGCTCCACTGTCTCCACAGAGGCCTTAAACATAAAAAGCGAAGTAGAAAAAAATAGATTCTAGTTCCTTACCTGAGTCCCGACCCCAGAGTCCCAATCGGTCCCAGTCCCACATTTTCAAATCGGTCCCAGTCCCACAGGTACCGGTATGTCCAATACCCAGGGGTCCTATATGTCCCGTAGGGTCAAGCAGCTGAAGAGTCGTAGGTCGTTAGAAGTCAGGCCCAGTACCTGACAAAAGTCCCAAAGTCCAGTTTTGCAGCAGCATATTGGGAAAGTCTGGTAAGTTACGGAACTGGCATTTGCAGCCGACTGGACGTGGAGATCGGTACTGGTCCGGAGCCGACAAAGACATCAACCGATGTTGTATTTATAGATGCTCCAGTGCCACTTAACTTTCACTTGTCAACTCGTGTTGCGGAAGCTTTGCTTGTCGCTTATGCGACCAGGGGTTGGACTGGGTCAGAGAGGCCTATGTTCAAGACTCACGGGTCCTACAGGTCCGGTAGGGTCGAGTAGCTGAAGAGTCGTAGGCTGTTAGAAGTTAGGCCCAGTTCCTGACAAAAGTCCCAAAGTCCAATTTTGCAGCAGCATCTTGGGAAAGTCCAGTAAGTTACGGAACTGGGATTTGCAGCCGATCAGCTGTGGAGATCGGTACCGGTCTGGAGCCGACAAAAACATCAACCGAGGTTGCTCTTTATAGATGCTACAGAGCCCCTTAACTTTCACTTGTCAATCTTGTTGCGGAAGCTTTGCTTGTCGCTTATGTGACCAGGCGTTGGACTGAGTCAAAGACTTTGATCAAGGAGATGCGTGCGACGGCCACCATAACTAGGGTTGAGCTCTAAGAAGAAGAATGCCATTGCTGATAGGGTAGTTAGGGCAAGAGAGGCGAGTGCATTCAGGTTGTGATTGTGAGCGATCCGATAAAGAGAGAGTGAGAGTGAGTGAGCGAGGTTGAGCTGAAGAGTTGAGAGAGCGAAACAGTCACACACACACACACAGAGGAGAGAGAGAGAGAGAGAGAGAGAGAGAGAGAGAGAGAGAGAGAGAGAGAGAGAGAGAGAGAGAGAGAGAGAGAGANAGAGAGAGAGAGAGAGAGAGAGAGAGAGAGAGAGAGAGAGAGAGAGAGAGAGAGAGAGAGAGAGAGAGAGAGAGAGAGAGAGAGAGAGCAAATCAGAGAGCGAGAGCGAGGGTTGCAGTAACCTGATGTTTGCGGTTTGGGTTGCGGTTATTGCCGCTGGATATCGGAACTCCATTCTTGTATAGTAGTAAATGTTTTGGAGAGCTTTCGTCTCGGTGTGAACTGATCTGCCATTTTGATGCCTACGTGAATGTCTTGTGAGTTTTCAGTGTGCTGCACGAATCAGAGTTGTACTGGAGTTGGTTCCTTGCACTGGTATTAGAGTGTACTTCTGTTGCACTTGCTTGGAGGGATTTGAAGGCTTCAATAAAGGTCGGCGGTTGAAGAAGAAGGGTTGACTGCTGAGGGGGTGGCTGGTAGGAGAATAGGCAAGAAAGGGGATTGGAGGCACGACGTACCTGCATCTTCGGCAAGCAGCGAGGAGCAGCATCGAAGTCTTGAATGGGACCAAAGGGACAAATTAAAGTCAAGGTCCCCTTCACATACAGTGGGAAGAAGCAAGAAAACATCACGCAGTGGGAGGCAACAATAAGGACGTTTCTATGGATACAGAAGATCCCCTATGAGGGATAGGTGTTGATGGCCGACTCGTGTCTGGGCGGCGATGCCCATAACTATTTGATGTCACCTTCTGATGCAGCTGGATGTGAGAGGAACATGGTCTGGTACCCAAAGCTTATGAACAGACGATTTTCTGCAGGCCATGTTTGATAAGTTCGAAGATAACAACCGTGCTAGACGGGCAAAATACCTTATCTTGAATATAGACCGGAGACGATGGAAGTGCATGGCAGTGTTGAAGGCCACGCAACAGTACGACGACATTGACGTGCCGTTACTCGCATTCAGATCGGAAAGGCGACCTGCAGCACCTTGGTCGATTGCGGAGCTACTGACAACTACATCAGCCAAGAGCTCATGGTGCGCGCCGGCCTCGGCCCGCGTGTTGGGAGGAAGTTGCAGCTCATGCAAGTCACGTTGGCCGACGGTCACACACACGTCTATTGACCGGTGCATCAACGAGGCGCCCGTGTACTTCGCGCTGCATGCACGCGAGGCCTTGTCCTTTGACATCTTGGACACCAAGTTAGACATGATCTTGGGCATGTCATGTCTGTGAAGCGAGGACCACCTGGTGGACTTCTATTGGGCACCGTTCACGTTCGTGATCGGAACGGGATACTTGTCCCATGCACGGTTCCTCCGCCTCACCTTCGATTGGTTGTCACATGGTCTCTTAGGCAAGCATTTGCAACTCCACACGACACGACGTTGAAGAAATGGGCATTTGCTTCTTGCATGCCCTCCCTCCTCCCGACGAGTCAGCGACGGAAGTGCCACCGGACCCATGCATCGTAACACTTCTTGACTCCTTCGGCAATGTCTTTGAAGCTCCCGCCGGAATTGTACCGGACCGGCCAATCCGTCACGAAATCGTTCTCGAAGACAGGGCCGTACCTCCACGCGGATGTATTTACCGCATGAGCGAGGAGGAACTCGAAGTGCTTCGAACGCAATTCGACGACCCCATTGCCAAGGTCTGGATTCGCCCTAGCTTCTCACCCTACGGTGCACCCGTTCTCTTGGTTCAGAAGAAGAACAAGGAATTGCGGCTATGCATTGACTACCGCAAACTTAACGTGCAAACCTTCAAAAATTGGCCCGCTCCCGCGAATCGACGATCTTCTCGAACGTTTGGGCGGCGCCATGTACTTCTCCAAGTTGGACCTCAAGTCAGGTTACCGCCAAATTGAGATCCATCCATGGGATCGGTACAAGACCACGTTCAAAACGTGATACGGGCACTTCGAGTGGGTCGTAATGCCATTCGGCCTGCCGGCCACCAAGTGGCAATGACGACGGAGTTCCGCGACATGTTGGACCGGTTCGTGCTCATCTACTTCGTCGATATCTTGGTGTATAGTCAGACTTTGGACGAGCATCTCGCACATCTACGTGTCGTTCTGGACATGTTACGTACAGCCAAGTACAAGGCCGATCGAGCCAAGTGCGAATTCAAACAACAAGAGCTCGAGTACTTGGACCACTTTGTGATGGTGCTAGGCATCCGTCTGCTCGCGGACAAGATCAAGGCCATTCAAAATTGGACGGAACCAACCAACACTACGGAAGTTCGTTCTTTCATGGGATTGGCTGGGTACTACCAACGCTTCATCGGCGGATATGCACTGATCGCCGCACCTTTGTCGAAATTGCAGTCGCCAAAAGCGCCCTTCCACTTCACCGACAGATACCGAAGTTCGTTCCAAAAATTGAAGACGGCGTTGCTACTCGCTCTTCATGAGTATCTACGATCCCACCTTGCCAACGAGAGTGATCACGGACGCTGCCGGCTACGGCATTGGTGCAATTTTGGAACAACACGACGGAGTAGATTGACATCCGGTTGAGTACTTCAGCCAAAAGGTGCCACCCATCAACTGGATTGATGATGTGCGTAAGGAGTAGCTTGCATTTGTCATGGTACTTAACCGTTGGCGACACTTCCTCCTCGGGCGTTGTAGGTTCACTTGGGCAACGGATAACAACCCATTGATGTACTACAAGAGGCAAGACACGTTGAGTAGCACGATTGCTTGGTGGATGTACTTCATCGACCAATTCGACTTCACACCGAGTTGCGAATGCTCTCTCACGCAGATCAGATCTCTGCGCAGCAATCAATCACGTGTTCGACTTCGACGACGACCTTCATCAGCATTTTGTATGCGCATACAAGTCGGATCCGGAATACGCCACTCTTTACGAGCAACTTTCTTCTGATCACCCGCCGACCAGCCACTACCGCATTGCCGACGGCTACTTGCTTCTCCATTCACGAGGCAAGGACTTACTATGTGTCCCACGAGACCGTTGATTACGGGCTCGCCTTCTCGGTGAGTACCAGGACGCACAACTCGCAGACCACTTAGGAGTCAACCGTACGATCGCAAGACTTCGACAACGATTCCGGTGGCCCGACCTCATTACCGATATCACTCGGTATTGCGATCTTGTGAAGTTTGCCGACGAAGCAAACCCCGCAACCGCAACCCCTATAGCGAGTTGTGCCCGTTGCCTATCCCTCAGGAACCCGGCCTTTTCATTGCTATGGACGTCACCGGCCTGTTCCCCCACGATCGCTTCGAGCACGACGACATTCTCACGGTCGTTGACCGTTTGAGTAAGTACGCGCGATTTCATCCTTGCAAGTATCACGCCACAACTCTCGAGCTTGTGAGACTCTTGCACACCAGCTTGATTTGCAGCCACGGCGTTCCGGAGGACATCGTCAGCGACCGCGGCACTCGTTTCATGTAGGCATTTTGGACTTCTCTCAGGAAGGAGTCCGACACCAAAATGAAGCTGAGTTCGACTTGGCATCCACAAACAGACGGGCAAACAGAGCGGGCACATCAAACCGCTCAAATGATGCTCCGTACGCTCATCCGTCCAGATCAAAAGGATTGGGTCGACCGCCTCCCCGACATCGAGTTCACCTACAACACTTCGTTGCATCCAGTGATCGGCGTGACTCCATTCAAGTTGCACCACGGTGGCCGGAAAGGCTGTATCATCGCTGATGTCTTACCTGCTCTCCCGCCTCCGTTCGGAAGTACCGGGACTTGCTGGCCCAAGCCCGCGCAAACATGCAAAAGGCTAAAGTCCGCAGGCAGCAGCAAGCTAATCGACTTCGTGAGCCATGTCCTATCCATGCTAGTGACCTTGTCTGGGTCTCCGCGGAAGAATTTTCGCTCGAAGAAGACGTTTCGCGCAAGCTACTCCCAAAGTGGTTTGGACATGGACCATCACATCAGTTGCGGGCGACAATCCCGATGGCCCATCCTTTGTGATCGACATCCCGTAGCATCTACTGGTCCACCTGGTCTTCCACGCCTCCAAGCTGGCGACATATACACCAGCCAAGAGTGAGGACTTCCCAGGCCGACGATCACAGGACCCTCCTTCCATGGATGGTCATCAAGAGGTCGATTGCGTCGTCACACACCGCAAGTACGGGAACAAACCGATGCAATGCAAGGTCACATTTAAGGGGTGCGACGACGACGACACATGGTGGATTCTGCGAGCAGACTTGCGAGCATCGGCACCGCTGATCTACGCCCACTACGAGAAGCAACGACTAGCCAAGGAAGCTGCACAACCTGCCCCTCCCACCCGTACTCCGGTCCCTCCCTCCGACCTGTCTCTTATACACATCTAGATGTGTATAAGAGACAGCATTTAAGGGGTGCGACGACGACGACACATGGTGGATTCTGCGAGCAGACTTGCGAGCATCGGCACCGCTGATCTACGCCCACTACGAGAAGCAACGACTAGCCAAGGAAGCTGCACAACCTGCCCCTCCCACCCGTACTCCGGTCCCTCCCTCCGACAGGCCGCTTCGCCCTCGCAGGTAAGCTCGGTCTTTCAAGGAAGGGGGGGGGGGTGGCATTCTCTGTTCCGCACGGGCGCTTCGCAGGGTCCGGTCTTCGCAGGGCCTGGTCCGTAGGAGTAAGGGTTAGCGGGGTTAGTTGGCTGATTAGGCCAGATTAGTACTAGGCCTGGCGCATTGCTTCATTAGCGCCAGGCCCCGGTTAGAGGCCCAGTTAGGCCAGCAGCAGGGGGCACAGGCGCTGGGCGCTGTTTCAGGCCCCGGGCGCCATTTCCAAGGCCACAGGCCCTGGGCGCCAGTTTAGGCGCCAAACGCCGTTTCGTTTGGGCACCAAGTTAGGCGCCAAAGCTCCCACTCAGGTCACTTCCTGAGGCCGGACCAGCGCTACTTATAGCTGGTCGGCCTCAGTTTCACAGGCATTCTTCAGGCATTCGCTAGGTACTCTTAGTAGTAGTAGCCATAGTCGACTATAGCGGTAGGGCTCCAGCGTTAGCATAGCGCAGCTGCAGTACCTCGCAGCAGAGAGACAGAGAGAGAGAGAGAGAGAGAGACAGAGAGACAGAGAGAGAGAGAGAGAGAGCATCTAGATG